CCCCTCTATCTATCCGTCTTTTGTTCTCATCATATTATCGACCGACTTCTGAGCTTTTCTCAGAACTGCATCATGAAATTATATTACCAGCAATAGTATCTCCTCTGCTGCCTGTGTCTAAATGCTCACAGAGTGCTAATTGAAATGGAGAGCTATTGATCGACATAGATCCACAGGAGTCATGGCTGTGGGGGTATTAGCTGCCAGTCTCTCCTTGTGTCTGTTGGACTTCAGCCTGTTGAGTGTAGAAACACCAACAATAGAAATACTGACGCAGCTCACATCATAACATGGCAACAAATAATTGATCAGTTTTGTCATAAATATTCATGTTGCTTAAGAATACAATACTCAAGGAGGCTGAAAGCTTATGGTCAATGCACAGTTATCAGTGTCACGGTGCCCTTGAGCAACGCACTAGACTCCCGGCTGCTGCAAAAAAGACGAATGTGTTGAAAAGTCAACCTTTTGACAGCTCAGAGGTGATTCTGTGCCGCCTTAGACCTGACAGGAAAGGTGCAGTTGTTGAACACTTCGAGAAAAAGAAAAGAAAAATGTCCCACTGAGAAGAAGAGTGTCCTCCTTGCTGGCAAAGACATAAAAGCACTTTACTACCACTATAAATACCTCAACTTCTCCTGCTTCCTCCCATCTTCTCTGCTTTATAGAAAAGGGTTGTGCTTTAGATTAAACCCCTTACAGTGTGGGTGCATCTTAAGAACTGACTTGTGTCCCCTGTGCTGACCTTCTCTTGTATGGATGCAAGTGTAAATGTGAAACAAAAATCTAAAAGCACAATACACATGTTGGTAATGTGACCTAGGTGGTTCAATTGATATTTAGAAACCAGAGACAGCCGGTTTTAATCACTTATAATATCAGGGAACAACATGTGAAGCAGCTCTCTGAATAATGAATGAACATTTAGTTTGATTTGTGGCTTTTGTTTTAACAATATAAGAAAAAGGTTTGTAAAGGTAGAAGGTATAGCAGTGGATACCCTGGGGTTCTGTGGATGAAAGAAATTCCCTCACAAGTATCCAAGATCCCTGTAAAGATATTTAAACACGCTGCACCTGTTTGGTTTTACTGGTTGTGTTTGACATCCCAGCTCTATCAGGCCCTAAAGATACATCACACAAAAACTGAGGCCATACAGTATAACATAAGTACTATCTTGTGCAGTGCAAGTGATTTCCAAACCTATATGTTTTCTTATTGAAAGCTTAGCTAGATTGTCAAAGGAAAGAAGAAAGGATTCTTGGATTGCATCCACTTCCCTTTATAGTTTAGGTATCACTCTCGTAGCGATCATGTAGCTTTTCTTTAAAGATTTTCCAACCAATCAGTTTCTAATTTCCAATCAATGCCTGTCCTGGTCAGATGACTTACCTCTTTCTCTCTCTCTCTCTCTCTTCAGGCTACGTCAGCGACTACCTTAGTCCTTCCCCATATGATGTTATGGCCGGAAGTGAGTCACCTGTCATCACTAAAGTCGCCTCCCCTGTCCGCCCATCAATCATCTATAGCCACATCGAAGACACCTATTCTGGTATCCATGGTGATGTCCACGGCGACTCGGACCAGCCGGACAGCCCGCGATCTGAAGTTTCCTCATCAGCAGGTGAATACATCAACGGGGACGCGGCGGTGAGCGATGAGTACACAGTGGATGCGTTTTTCATCATGGACGGACGGTCACGGAGGAAGTCCACAGGAAACGCCAAAGGAGCCATCCAGAGGCACTCCTGCAACGAGTGCGGAAAGTCCTACGCCACGTCCTCCAACCTGAGCCGCCACAAGCAGACGCACCGGAGCATAGACAGCAAGATGGCCAAGAAGTGCCCCACATGTGGGAAAGTGTACGTGTCCATGCCAGCCATGGCCATGCACCTGCTGACACATGACCTCAAGCACAAGTGTGACGTGTGCAGCAAAGCGTTCAGCCGGCCGTGGCTGCTGCAGGGCCACATGCGCTCGCACACGGGGGAGAAGCCCTTTGGGTGTGCACACTGTGGCAAAGCGTTCGCCGACCGGTCAAACCTGCGTGCTCACATGCAGACACACTCGGCCTTCAAGCACTACAAGTGTAAACGCTGTGACAAGACGTTTGCACTCAAGAGTTACCTGAACAAGCACTACGAGTCGGCGTGCTTCAAGGGGGCTTTCTCCCCGATGAGCTCACTGAGTGAATGATTGGTTCCAAAAGGTTGACTTTTGTTTGTTTGAATCAGATTTAGCTGGCCTCACGCCCTAATTTGTGTGCTTTCTCCAACAAGAGTCTTCTCTGCAAGGATCATGAGGCAAAAGAACAGATTGAGTCCATTTTTATCAAAACCCTCCAATCCCTCCTTTGTCTCCTTTTTTGGAAGTGAGGTGAAAAGTTTGCGATACGTGATTCAGATCGTCACCTGCTTTGACGAGATACGTCCACTTTTGAGGCTGTTTTGAGTATACGCGTGGATAAATGAAGCACAGTACATCCAGCTCATCATTTTTGAAGATACCTAGATCTATTTATGTCCATATCTATCCTCGTGCCACTTTTTTTTTTCAACCCATGACGAATCAACACTGAAGCACAATTCCTCTCCCATCTCTGTCTTGCTGTGACAGGACTATCACGTATAGCATGAATCACATCTTCTTGCAAAGAGATTCAATAAACTTTACAATGTAATGTTTTTTAGAGACAAATAAAACAAAACATTCATAATCTAAGGATAAAGGTGTTATCCTGCTTTTGAAACGGACTTTGGACGGAACTCATAAGGAGATCAAGCATCTAAAAACAATGAAAGCACACTGCGTTTTCTGCAAGTAAGCAAAAATACTTGTGAAGCTTTTAATTTACACTAGGGACATGCTTTGCCTACTGTTTACTGTGTTGGCCACTGACACATTTACACTGAACTGTGATCATTTACAAATCTTCCATACCATGGGATGGCAAGGTACACCTTTGGAGTGGGAAAACAATCTTTATGGTGATTTTCTTTAAACCAATGTCTTAAATGGACACAGATATACAACATATTTTTAAGTTATCTTTCTGGCATTTGTGCTTTACTTGACAGTAACCTGTGGAAAGTATAAGGGAATAGTTACTCAACAAACAGTGTTTTCCTACAACCTAAATATGATGTTATTTATTTTTACACGTCAATGTCAGATGAGGATCCAGACATTTAAAATGTCTTAATTTTCCCTGTAAAGGTTAAACCTTTTCTCAAGTGTTGTATAAAAGTGTTTTTGTTGCCAGAAGGCCACACAGTGCTCATCTTTAGGTCTTTTTAAGTGTCTATTTATTGCCTAATTTATTTATTTATGTTTGTGTAAAGGTATTGATTTGCACCTTACTTTGTTATATTTTGCCTTTGTTACAAATATGCCAAAGCATTTGACACTTTCTAATTACCGAATACCTTTTTACTTTTGTCCGCCACTTTAATTATAAAAACTACTGCATGCAAAAAATAACTATAGCCTAATAATGGAATCTATGCCAATTTTATGAATCTTTGGGATATTTTGCCAAACCTCTTAGATAACAGGCAAATTGAGCAAATGTCTTTCTTGGGCAATATTTCATTCATATCCGATAGAGCAATAATGCATGATATTTTTGAAGAGACGTGAGTCATAACTGCTTGTAACATCTTGATTTTTTCAAGTACCACTATTCTATGTAGTTATGAGAAAGGAAATTTCAGGGAGTTAGCAAACCAAGTTAGTGTTAAATATGGAGGGTTGGGTTAAGAGCTCTGTATGTGGAGGGAGTGTGACACTGTTGTGATTCTGAGAGGCTTCCCCCAGTGACTTCTCTAATGGTAAAGTGTTCAAACAGATCCAATTAGCAAGAGAGTAGGTTTTCCAATCTCTGCTGATTAGTATGTATTATTATCTAAAACCATAATTCTATCTTGGCATCATTAGCTTGTTGACAATTATGTCTATGTAAGCATTAGGAGCTGTTGGTGCTTCCAGGGATTCACACAGATGACACGACTCCTTCAGTTGGAGGGCTCTTGGTTGTGTCGGGACGGGTCTTTTTGTACATGGTTTATGCACTGCCTGCCTCGTATTATTATTCTAAAAATATTGTAGAAAGTAGAAGGTAATACCATAGACCTCTGGTGCTGAAACATGGATGAAAACACAAACCCAGAACCAGAACGATTGAGAGCTTTGGTACTTTCTAAGTTCTTGGTTTGAGTAGTTGAATAGGTGAAAAACAACTTTACAGCAGCTGAGGTTTTTGTGGCAATCCGCAATGAAATTAAAGTGATTGTTGAGGAAGAAAAGAAGACATTTTGTCAATATTTCAGCACCAGAGTGCATCGAAAAACACTTAGTCTACTTTGAACTACCGTAGCCTAATATAGCCACAAGCTAGTTTACCTATTCTTATATAAAAGCACTTCCTGTTACGAATTATATCTTACAACTTTTTTTTTTTTGTTCAAAGATAGTAGCACAATGAAAGAGTTTAGATTCAGGTAGACAATGCCTTGTATGTAGAAATAACAACCTCTTTCTCCTTTTTCTACACTGATGAATCAAAGGTATCAACAACAACAAAGATGCTGAAATGTCACACGCTGTGTTGTCCTTAAATGACACATGAAAATATGCTTAAAAGTGACACATGGTATAAATAAACTCCTTTTTACACATTGTGTCATTTTTTTACATATTTGTGGGAGAGCATCTTCACCACACCTTTTTTAAGAGTGAATGAAAACTTGACTGTGGCAAGAGGCCTTGTAAATAAGCACTGATGTGACTTTGGAGTCAAATAATTTCTACAGATCTGTATAGAGTGACAGTGATGCAGATGATGATGATGATGATAATGATAATGATGAGGATGATGAGGATTCTGAATTTCTCTGGAGCTTCCTTCTTTGTTTTGAGTTCTTCCTCTGAGGTTTTTTTGGACCTCCAGTGGCAGTTTTAAACAATGTAAAGCACAAAGACAACACTGGGCATTTTGTTTCACTTCCTAAATAAAAACTAGTTTAAAAAAGTTGTGTTGGGATTTTGTTCTTCTTCTTCATTGAACCTTTCACAAGTTTCACTATTTAAATGTATGCAATTATCAAAGGTAAAAGTATTCAACTTGTACAATATAGGCAAAGTCCCTCCCAAAAGCGCAATGGACGTCATCACTTCATCTCTTAGTGGTCTTACACATCTTTTCCCTTCCCTTCGAAAAAAAAAAGATTAGGAGTCACAGGATAAAACACATCAGTTAAGATAACGTTACAGTTGTGTGGAACATAGCTAAGTTATCTAGCTTTCTAGCTAGCTAGCTAATACCCCGCTAGCTAGCTAGCATTGGCGGCTTATATTGTGCAAGACCGAATATCCTGAAAATGCAACTCTCGGTCATTATTTCTTGGATTTGATAAAGCTCCTCCATGCTCGGATAAGACATCATACAGCAGTGTTCACAGGCTTATCACAGCAGTACTCTTTAGGATGAGTAAACTGACCTTTTTTGAACGGAATTTTTATTTTTTTATTTGTGTTAGTGGCTGTTATACAAAAGCCCTTCAAAATGATCTTTACTGCTTCTGGTAAGCTTACAAAAGAGCCTTTCAATGCAGCGCCTTATGAAGTATTAATGAATCATTAGCATATTGATAAATTATCACGTTAATAAATAGCATGGGCAAACTGTGAACATTTACTTTTATTCCTCACTAAACGGTAATTGATGATTTGTAAAATATTCATTAAGATAATTTGCCTTCAGCACAAAAACTGTAAATTATAGCGGCACCAGCTCACCTTCGTTTTTTTTACCCTGTGGCGATTGTGCGGAGGTCAAAATCACCAAGTGACTGTGTGTGTGTGTGTGTGTGTGTGTGTGTGTGTGTGTGTGTGTGTGTGTGTGTGTGTGTGTGTGTGTGTGTGTGTGTGTGTGTGTGTGTGTGTGTGTGTGAATGATTTTAATTGCTTGTGTAAGCTATCATACATGAACAGGGAAGCTGATCTCAAGGATTGTCTTTAACCTTGCGAGACATTGTGTTACATGTATGTACTTATGTGTGGATGTGAATATTTCTTTTTGATATAAACATCCATGTTTTCGTTTTTGGTTCAAATTAATTAAGGTTGTAAATATGTAGACAAGGACCATTTTGGATAAGAAATTTATAAAACCAAATGCGGTATGCTATTGTAATAAACGTAATGAGATGACACTCCCAGTGATGTTAGTAAATATATAATTGGCCAAACAATGATCTGTCTGAATTTACATAGTAATGCAAAACCTGTAAAACAATGTGAGTTAAAGACAACAATTCTATAAACCTTCCTCAATAAGCAATATGAGCAAAACAAGAGTGCTTTAATGTGCAGCTTGTGAACAAAAACAATGTATGAGCTACACAATGTCACAAGCTCCTGCCACCCTGTGTGCACAGATTGATTAGAGAGAACTTTCGATTTAATTAAGTGTGTGCGTGTTTTATTGAAGTGCAAGTGTGGTTTGAATCAATCATATTGTATAAAATAAAAGAAGAACAGTAGGGCCCTTTCTCATTTCTCTAATTCCCCTCCTCGACTCCTATCCTTGTGTCTTAGTCCCGCCCACAGGAGATGCGAGCGGAGGAGTCGAGGAGGGGAACCGAGGAGAGAGGAGGGGGAATTAGTGAAATGAGAAAGGGCCTAGGACACCAGAGACTGCAGGTATGTTGTGTCTTCATGTATTTGCATTTATCTTTCTGGACTTGATAGGAAAAACAGTTTACAATTATTCTCTGACAAACAACAGCATTTTAGTTCAGCTTTCCGTTTTTTTGCCCCTAATTTTTACACGTTTGTTTATTTAGGCTATAGGTACTTGTATGTGTGGATTTTCTATATGTATGTACATTTGTATGTTAATGTGGAAAGAAGCTTTTGTATACGTGTTGTTAAACGTATTGGTCTCTCAGTTCATGTTGTTTGTGGGTCTACAGCCATGCTAGCTGCTCTGTAAAGCTCTACTTATATGGTGCGGTTATTTAAGCTAATACTAACGTAAGCATGCTAACATGTTTAGCAGGTACACAGTAAAATCCGGAGTGTTAATTTAACACTCTGATATAAGGACCATATGTTCACTGGCTCTCAGTGTTAAAATGGACTCTTTAAGTGTTCATTTAACACTTAAGGGTTCATTTAACACTTAAATCCCTCCCTTTAAGTGGTCAACACTTAAAGAGTCAATTTTAACACTGCCGGTTGGCCAGTGAACATAATGGTCCTTATCTGGAGTGTTAAATTAACACTCCGGATTTACTGCGTATGTTGTTTACCATGTTTACAACATGTTAAGGGAATTTATATCAAATATTTATCTAATTAAAGACTGTCTCCACTTTCACCCATAGACCTGTGTTTGTTTTCTGTGTGAAACGAAACTTTGTATTTGTATGTATTCTTAAACTGAAATAACATTTGTGCTTATTTTATGCTAAACATAACCAAGTTGTTTTGTTGCATTATGTTAACATTTACAAGGTTAATCAAAACCTGTAACTGTATATTTTAGGATAAAATACATTAAACTCAAAACATAATTGAGAATGCAGTTTAGTTGTAAGGGAACGTTATCGGAGACAGGGTTGAATGGTGTTAGTTTAGCATGTAAGAGGAAATTAGATTTAAATAATCTTTTGGAGATATTTATTTCTAAGTCTTAAATCCATAAAACAGGTTACTAACTTTGGTGCAAGTAGCTGCTAAATGTATCATGACTAACCATCACATGCTCTCACCAATGATTAGCATTTAAGAGGGTCTCCATAACAAAGTAACTTAGAGCACCATTGGCCAGATTTATAGGAACCCATTGACTAGGATTGGCTACCATCTGCCAGGACTTCACCTCTAAAGACAAATGACCTTCTATTAAAAGGTGATTGATTTTCTCCTCGTACTAAAGATATAGATTTTCTTATATTGCCTCTGGTCCACTAATGATACTAATTCTAATATTCACTGGACCTGAAAAAAGGCTTCCGAGCTATAATAGCTACTGTCAGAGAAAGTGTGTGTGTGGCTATGTGTGTGTATGTGTGTGTGTGTGTGTGTGTGTGTGTGTGTGTGTGTGTGTGTGTGTGTGTGTGTGTGTGTGTGTTTGTGTGTGTGTACATACGTGTGTGTAATGTATGTGTGTGTACATACGTGTGTGTCGCTGTGTGTGTGTTTTATACAAACGTCTATAAAATCCATACTTGCATTATTTCACTTGGTTCTAATGCTCTTCATTGCATTACAGCAGCATGTATAGATCACCTGCAATATAAGGAGTTTTAACCAAAGGGGAAATAAAATACAGAAATGTTGTGAAAACAGAGGTGTACATCCTCTACCCGTACTTTTAAAAATCTACAGCGGACAAGTTCACTACATCTTTGTATTGTAACATTATGAATAAATTGCAACGACGAAGCTTTGAATTTGTCTGAAACAATAATCACTAGCTGGGGCTGTAGCTCAAATAAAAACAATGTCTGTCTAAATATTTCCACAACCATATGATGGATTTCCTTGACATTTTGTACGGACATACACTACGTGTTCCCCAGAGGATGTTCCATATTGACTTTGGTGACACTTTTACTTTTCCTTCAGTCTACACACGATCAGTGGATTGACATTTGTGATTTTGATTGAAATCTTAGAATGTAAAATGTGGCAAAGATAAATGTGTCTTTATCAAAATAAATCTTTGGTAATGGTCTAGCTTGTCTCTAGTGCGTGATAACATGATTCACTTTGTTGCTGAAGACAGTAGGCAGTTTATACCCTCTTGCCAAACACAAACAAACAGAATGATTGATAAATAAAATAACAGTCCACCCTAACCTTTACCAGATAAAGAAAATGAGAGATAAGGAGAAGAAAAGCCATATAGAGAATATTTTATGTATTTTATGTTCAAAGCATTTTAATATGCTAATTCCTGTTTCCCATGATGTCTGACCTTCTAGCCTTCAGCAGATGACGAGAATAAATAGTTCATACATTGTCCCCTATGTAGTTTTCACCTTAAATAATGTATAAAGTAGAATGGCTGAGAAACTCCAACCTACAGAGTGAGCACCATTACTTAAAGACCTCCGACTATGTCGGACCTTTTTTAAATAGGATGACTCAAACTGAACGAGCATGTTCAAGATAAATCTTTGCTTCATTTTGTGTTTGGAAAATATTCTCCCCTTCACTTTTACAAGTAAGTATCTCATCCCAGAGTAATCTTTGAATTTACTGTACTGTCGTTGACTAGATGTGCCTTCACACCAGTTAGATCCCCTGTGGTTTAAAACTGAAAGCTCATCCCATAGTGAAATGAGTTTTAGGTGCGCTCAGGTGATTTTTCTCATTTGTATTCATATCTGATATCACAGGCTGATGTGTAAAGGAGTGAGAAAAGGGCTTGTCCTGCGTGATTTGTCCAGTCTGAGTGGGAAGTATTGAGTAAGGAGTCCTAAAACTTGTTTTAAAAAAAATGTGTATCTTATAACTACAAATGAGGATTTCCTAGTGGATTCTTAAACTCTTTCCCATTCTCAAATTTGTTTGTAGATCATGTTTTCAAAAAACAAAATATTATGTTTCACAAAAACTCAAACAATCACCGAACATAAACATATTCGTACATTTGTGTTATGCATACATATGCAAAGCAAGAGGTTGGGTGACTTTATTACAAAGCTACAATGTCCATAGGTGGAAAAGATAAGGGTGGATGAAGGGATCAGAAAAACAGGAACACATATTGAACCCTTTGTTTCCTACTGACAATCAATTGGTTTCTTTTGTGCCTAAGCCTATAAAAACCTTAAAGGAATCATAGGTATCATAATTAAAATTGGATTCAGCGGAGTTGCTGGAAATGTCACCTTGTGTCATTTTTAGTTTGACTTTTAGACCATATAAATATACATATATATGTGTGTTATGTTGACAGTATTAGAATGACTGTGCAGGCCACAAA